CTGGAGGGAAGGGGGCCTGCCTGGAGCCCAGCCACAAACACACACACAGACAGACACAAACACACACATGGCCCGCTGCAAAACAGCCCCCACTCCCCGCCATGGCCTCCCATGGCGGTTCACCTGGCCGGGCCCCAGAAGCCCCCGGGGCCAGCCCCTGAGTCACCGTGTGGGCTTGTGTGGGGCAGCCCTCTTCTGCTCCAAAGGGCCCTGCCCACCTGGCAGAGCTGGTAGGACTGGGGACCTGGCAGCACCTCAGTTGGGGCCATCCTGGGCAGCCCTGGGGCAGGCACACTGGCCGGGAACCCTGCACCCTCCACAGGGCCCGCACAGCCCTCATCGAGACACGGGCTGCCGTTGAGCCAGACATCAACCACCCACAGCGATATCGAACACATCGTCCTCAGGAGAAACAGCGCCAAATTTTGCCCCACATTCCCGCTGGCCAACACTACCACCAGATCCTGGAATTGACAACTGGGAGCAAAACTCACAGCCACAAGCCTCCACTCCTCTCACCCCCTGCCCACCGCCACCAGCCACAGGGACCAGAGAGGAGGGGGGTCCACTTACTGGTCACTAGGAACTGCAGTTCTCCAGAGGAGCCGGGTCACCCCTCCCCACTCAGGAACTCCCCCACCCCCACCCCCCGGCATCCCCACCCCCTCACTCCCGCCAAAGTCAGAGCAGTCCCCTCTGCCCTGAGCCTCTCGAGCCCGCATGATCAGCACTCAGCAAATATTCCCCGGGAGTAATTGGATGCGGTGGAACACGGGCCTCTCAGCTCCCGAGTGGAAGTCTCCGGATGTCATTTAACAGCACGAAAATAAAAGGCTCAGGCCTCCCGCCCCCACCGCCAGGACATCATTAATCTCGGCAGAAAGGATCAGCGCTCCCATCACCACGGCCAGCCCCGCGGAGAGCCAGACAAATTGCGGGCGAATCTGCGCCGAGGGAGGCGGTTACCAGGCTGGCGGTCATGTTTTGTGTTTTCCCTTGACTGAAAGCCGAGGGGGAGAGTAAGGGCAGGCCACCTTGGTTAGACACAGCTCACCCATCTGTGGAGACGGGGCGGCTCTGAGCCAGGCACCCCGGGTCCCAGCAAAGGCTCAGGCAGCTCACATGCTGGTTCAGAGGAGGGGACCCCAAGACTCAGTACCCTGCCTGCTGCTCTACAGCCTGCATGGGGGCCTGCCTCCCAGCCCCCTCTTCCCAGGCTGAGAGGGGGACACTTGATGGCCTACTAAGGACTAAATGACAGGTCAGGTGGGGAATGTCCTTTGGCTAGAGCAAGGGCCCGCAGGGAACACTTTTTCCTATGCTGTTGGGAAGTCTTAAGAGTGGGCCTGCTGGCCGAAACCGGTTTGGCTCAGTGGATAGATAGAGCAATGGCCTGCAGACTGAAAGGTCCCAGGTTCAATTCTGGTCAAAGGCATGTACCCTGTTGCGGGCACATCCCCAGTAGGGGGATGTTTCTAACTCTCAATCCCTCTCTCTTCCTCTCAGTAAAAAATCAATTTAAAAAAAAAAAAAAAAAAAAAAAAAATATATATATATATATATATATATATATATATATATATATATATATATATATATATTTAAGAGTGGGCCTGCTAGAGAGACTCGGGGGGGGGGGGGGGGGGAGGCGGGCCTGATATGGGTGGGGTCTCATCAGCTGAAATTGGGGGAGGGGGGCACTTTGAGCTGCTGGCCAAGGCCACCCTTCGACGGTCTAGCTTATTAGTCCAGTGCTAACTGTCTTAGCAACTCATCAGAGGCCAGAATGGGCCTGGATAAATGTTTCTGTCTCTCTAAAACCAGTAGGTAAGACGATGCTTGAGTCTGATTCTGCAAGACGGAAACGATGCTCCCTAAGGTTGTGTAGGGACCCACCTGCTCCTCATATGTGGCAGCCCCGCCCTAAGGAGACCAGACCTCTGTGTTCCAGTCCCTGGGTGGCTCAGGAGACAGACATCAGACACCCTGGCTCTTTCTCCCTGTAGCCGAAGGGAAGGCAGGCCTCTGAAGGGCACTCCCCCCGCCCCCCGCCCCGCGCCCCCCTCATGACCCGTCACAGGAAGAGCCCATCCTGGGTGGACCCAAGGCACACCAGTGGCCAGACCTCAGACAGCAGCACTCTTCCTGCGTGGCAGTGGCCCCTGCAGCCCCGGACAAGCAGTGCCATACAGGATGGGGCTTTCCTCCATGGGCTGACCATGGAAGCCACAGCCCGCAAGCTCCCAGTCACTCCCCACACACCCCTGAGGGCCTGACTCACCCCCATGCCTTCTACAACTTGCACGGGGTCAGTTCCTCTTGCCCTTTGTGGCAGGAAATGGGGGTGTAAGGAGTCACCGCCAAGCCAGGGGAGGAGGCAGCGGGAGGCCAGCAGCCACCTGAGGGACAGAGGGCAGGTCTGAGGAGCTGCCCACGAAGCTCAAGACCACAGGCTTGTTGGAAGCAGGACAAGGAAGGAGCTGCGAGGCTGCCAGGGCCCTGCAAGCTCCATTGGGGAAGCCATGTGAGCTAGGGGGAGGGCGCACGGCCGGAGCGGGAAGCCAGGTCTCCCTCAGGGCACAGGGGATTTCTTTCTGCCATTGCCCTGATCTCGTGATGGGTTTCAATTCCCTCCTGCCACCCAGGTTCCTTCCTGCCCTTCTCAGTGGGGAAGGCCCGCTGGTCCCCATGCCTGCCACACACCAGTTCACCCAAAGCCCTTCCCCTGGCATGAACATGCACACACACATGCATCCACACATGTGCACACGTGTGCACACACATGCACATAGGGTCATGAGCCACAGTATTTTTCCAGCCAGCCAGGCTCCCTGCGTGTGAAGGCCTGGCCAGGCCTCCCAGTGGAAGACCCACAGCGTCAGGTACACACCTCTCAGCCCAGCGGCAGCCCAGCAGATAGGAGAGGCTGTCTCCGGGGCCCGGCCACCCTCGCCCCAAAGGAACTCCTGAAACCGCTGCTCTCCAGCCCAATCTGAACACTCAGTCACTGAGCCCGATAAAATTTGGATGATCCCAAAGAGGCCTTTTTTCCTTTTACCACTAAGAAGCAACCTCACCAGAACTCCATCTATGCACTAGGGATAAAAATGGTCTCCCTGTGAAGATTAATTGAATGAATATGCATGGAGTTCCTAGAACTGTGCCTAGCACATAGAAAGCACTCTGTCAGCCCTGGCCGGTGTGGTTCAGTGAGTTGAGTGTCTCCAGTTTGATTCCCAGATTGTGGGTTTGATCCCTGGTCAGGGTGCATATGGGAGGTAACCAATCAATGTTCCTTTCTCTCTAAAATCAATAAAAACATTTTTTTTTAAAAAAAGAAAAAAACTGCATCAGTGTTTTACCTTTTTTTTGGCATTATTATTATTTTGTTTATTTGGATAAAAAATGTCCTCCCCTTGAGAACATCTTTGAAATGCAAACAGCCCCTGCAGGGAGGGAAGGCAGGTGGAGTATGGAACATTAACAGGTGGTGGGTGCTGACAGAGAGCCACAGGTGGGTAAGTGGGCAACTCTGAGAGTTATTCCAGGATGCCAGCCACTCTCCTTGTTCTCTCTGGGCATTTCTGTCCTCCAGTGGTCCAGGTCATACCTGCCACTGCCTAGCTCTGTTCTGGACAAGGTTCTCCCGCAGCACTCCCCCCAGGGAAGGTTACTGAATTTAGCAAAATAAGAAAAAAAGAAAAGGAAAGAAAGCCCTGGCCTGATGGCTCAGTTGGAGAATTGTCCCATCCACCAAAAGGTTATGGTTCGATTTCTGGTCATGGCACATACCTCGGTTGTAGGTTCAATCCCTGGTCAGGGATTGAATATGTTAGGCAGGCAACCAATCACGGAATCTCTCTCTCTCTCTCTCTCTCTCTCTCTCTCTCTCTCTCTCTCTCTCTCTGTCTCTCTGTCTCTGTCTCATCAATAAAAACATATCCTCAGGTGAGGATTGAAAGAAAGAGAGAAGAAGAAAATACAGGAAGCCCAGTTCAATTTGAATTTTAGGTGAACAAGGAATAATTTTTTACTATAAGTATGTTCCATGCAGTATGTGAAACATACACTATCAAATTATTTGTTGTTTACCTGAAATGTCAATTGAACTGAGTGTCCTGTATTTTCTCTGGCAACCAGCTGACAAGGGTTCCTGAGGCACCAAGTTTGAGAAACGAGAGTGTGGGAATATGCCTCTGACCACTTCCCTCGGCCTCTCCCCAGTGCCCGGGGCCGTGTCCTCCCTGCCCGGTTACTGGGCCTGTTCACACTTGTCCCAGAAGATGCACCTCCCTCGATGCCCCTGTGTTTTCTCAGCTTGAGGGGGGCCCCTCTGACCTGGGCACAGACTGGGCTTCTCCAGGCCCCAACCTGGGGGCGTCTCACCCACACGCAGCTCCCCTCCAGGATCCAGGTGTTCAGGAACAGAGAGAAGGGGTCCTGCCCGTACCCTTTGCCCCTTGACTTCTGCCACAGCCAGGAAAGAAACCCGTTGCACAGTCTCTAAGGTGGTTGGGGTTCTGGGGAGGAGATTAAATGAATGGCGCCGGCACTTCTGTCAATCTCAACCCCAGCAGCTGGGGTGACCAGGTGTGAAGGAAAGAAGCTTTAAGGCTTCAGTCATGGGGTCAAGAGAGCCTGCAGGGCGGGTGGGGAAGGGTGCTGACAACCTGCTTGGGAGTTTCCTTTCTGCATGTGAACGAGGCAGCAGAGTTATGCTAAACAAAGGGCACTGGGGACGGACCAAAGGCTGCACTTGACTCTGACCAGATTCTCATCCCCAATGCTTTCTGGGGAGCAGCCCCTTCCTAGGTGCTCTGCTAACATTTAGGGGTGTCCTGCAGCGAGGAGCCAGGGGCACCCCCAGGTACTCAGACCAATGGCCAAGGCCACCTCCTGCTGTCTCCACTCCCCCAGAGCGGGCCTCCCTCTCACCCCTGACAGCTCTCAAGTCCACGGTTCTCAATCATTGCCTCCCTGTGGTCTGTTTGTCCTCCCAGGCTTTTGGGGACTGGAACAATTTCTGATTCGCTTCCAACTGACTAACCCTGAAGCAAGAACCCAGTTCATGACCCAGAATTACGAGGACTCGCCAGATGTCTCGCCAGAACCTGCCCCTCCCGCACAAGGAGTCAGTGCGCCTAAAGACAAACTCAAGATGTCAGGCTTCGCCTTTCTGGTGTGTGTCCACCTTGCCCACCACCTATAGTCTGGGTCTGAAACCCCTTCTCTTCCAAATTAAAAAGAAAGAATTGTCTAAAGCTTACTGGTTGGATGTTTTATTTCCTAGCCTGTCCTCCTTCAAACACCCAGGGCAAGAACTCAGTTGGTGCCCCACCCTGAGGCCTATACATGCACGTGCGGAGGGGACAGTGGCAGGGATAGTGGACAGGCAGGAGGTGGAGATCCCAGCCCTGAACCTCCATGAGGCGCATTGAGTGACGTGAAGAGAATCACCCACCCTCTCTAGAGTGCTGCTTCCTCCTTCCTCCATGAAGTGGAGGTAGGAGGAGGAGGGAGGGGCAGCTGCTTTATCTCTGGGGTCCTTTCCAGCTCCGACATCCAACACCATTCATTCAACAACTATCATTGGCAACTACTACATGCCTGGCCTTCTGCTAGGTGCTGGGGACCCATGTGTGAAAATGGCAGACAAGGCAGGGGCTTACCATCCAGTCGGGGAGAGGAAGTTTCATCAGATGACCACAAACAAATTACAGCAGATGTGACAAATGCTCTGAGGGTGCCGAGGGGACTTGCTAGATGACGCAGGGGGCAGGGCAGGCAAGGCCTCTCAGAAGAAGCGATACCCGACCTCATGGCTGAAAAGCCGGGTGGAGCTTTGCTATGAGTAGGCACAGGGGTGACAAGCATGGCGGAGAGGGGGCGCACCTCTGAGCTCCCATGGTGAGCAGGGGCATGCCTGGCATCTTCCAGGAAATGAAGGCCAGTGGTGTGGCCACCGGGGCAAGTGGGCAGGGACCAGAACATGCCAGGCCTTCCAACCAGGGTAAAGTTTTGGATTGTACCCTGAAAGCAAGGGGAAATCTTCCTATATAATAAAGGCCTAATATGCAAATTGACCCCTCGGCGGTTGTTCAACCGGGGTTCTACCCGGAGACTGGGAGTTCGACTGTGCTCACTCAGACGTGGGGCTGCTACCTCTCTCGATGGCTACCTGGAGGCAGGGGTGACAAGGATGAAGGTGCAGTGAGAATTCGGGGTGTCCTCTGAGCTCACTCTCACTCCTCCTGCTACCCTCCCCTGGGATGCCAGTTCAGTCCCCCTCCTCCCCAGGTGCCAAGCAACTGCAAGGAGCCTGCCCTGTACCTGTGCAGTATCTTCCAGGTGAGCCAGGTGGCAGCTTCCGGGCCACAGGGGCCAGTCAGGCTCCCCGTGGGTTCATGCAGGAGCCGGTCTGCGAGGCCGTTGGGAGAGAGCACGCTGCCCATGTGGGGATTCGGGCACCATGACTCAGGCAGAGGGGGGCACGTGGGGGCCCAGGGGCTCACGTGCAGCCCAGGGCCCAGAGGTCAGCTGGGAACTGCCCTTCCATGCCAGACACTCGCGCTTCGATCGCCAGCCAGGCCTAGGGACCGAACCCGTGCAGGAATTTCGTGCACCGGGCCTCTAGTGAAACAAGTAGATTAGAGGGCAAGAGGGGGCATAATCTAATTTATGCTTTTAGAAAGCTAAAAAGAAACTCCTTAGTTTCTGCAAAGAAAGGATTCTCGGTGACTACCTGCCCTGGGTGTCTCCTGAATATCTCAGCTTCCCCACCAAGGACCCCTTGGAAGCACCTCTTAGCTATGGTCTCATTCATACCCTAAACCCTGGTACCTCAACTACCCAACCCCCAGCTCCAGTCCTCTCAGCCCCTCAATCTCTGCTCAGTTTCCCTCCAAGAGTTAACTCTTCCTGCTTCCACACCCCTACACACACACGCACACACACACATACATATACACACATACACACACACACACACTCCTTGGCTAAAATATGCAGTGCTGTGACTCATGTGTGCACAGTGCCTCGAGCCCCCCAGGTGAAAGGGGCAGGCTGCAGCCGGGCACCACGTTATCACCCTCTTAGGGCCAGGGCCCACATTAGCAGGAAGGCAGAGGGGCCCTGGCCACCCCTCCGCCAGGCTACGCTCACTCCCAAGTCGCTGGAAGGCTTTCACGGTGGGGTTTGAAGAACACAATGGGCTGGGAGACTGCCTGGGCGAATGGGAGGGAGGCGGACATGTTTCCCCTTCATTGATAAATTCAAAGCCCCGCCTCAGTGGTGGACACCAAGCTCTCGTTCCGCAGAAGATCCATGGATGCCAGCCCAGGCAGCAGAAACTCCCTACTCCCTTCTACCCACCGGACAAGCTTGCCAGCAGAGCTAAAAGCAGAAGCAAAAGGAAGTGTCCGCTTGCAGTGTCGTGGAAGGCAGCCTCAGAAGGGACTTTCTGGGTGTATTCGGACCTCACACTCCCCGCAGCCCCCGCCCCACAGGCCCAGAGTGTAATTGGCAGCTCCTGTTGGGGCCCGAGGCCGGAATAAATAGCAGGTCGGCTTCCTAGAGCAAGCCCCAGACCGAGACACATCCTCCCCTCTTCTGCTTTTAATTCTTTGTGGCCAGCATGTTTATTTTGGGTGAAGGAAAAAAAAATCGGATGTTTATCCTTCGAGGAAATTATCGGCTTGCTTTCCTTCCTCCCTCCCCCCACCCCCATCCCTTCTTTCCCCTGGTGCTTTTGGGCTTTTAGTTCAGCTATAGGAGCCATCCCTGTAAAAGAACAGCGATGGCCCAGGCTATAGGCTAAAGACAGCCTAGCAGATGGTCCTGGGAGCCTTCTCACTCAGTGGCAGGGAGAGAAAACCTGGCGCCAAGAGACCTCGGGGGAAACCCACCCTTGACTCGGCTCTCTGCCTGCACAACACTCTGGGCCCTTGCCCCTTTCCACTGCCTCCTCCAATCAGAAACAAAATGAGCATGGAGATTGCTCAGAGAGCTCTAATGAAGCAGCTACGAAAACTCATAAGGGAGCATTAGGAACCCCTCTAGAGGGATGAGGAGAACTGATTCCTTTGTCGTCATCATCATCATCATCATCAGATACCAGTTGTCGGGCATCTTCTGCATGCCAGATGCCTAGCACGTGGCACCCCATCTCACGCATTCCTGCACAACGTCACAGCCCATGGGCCTTCATGCTCATTCTCTCACTCGATTGTCACGAGATAATGTAGGCATTGCTATTCTCCTTTTATAGGTGAGGAAACTGGCGTTCTGCTAGGTTAAAGAACCTACTCCCTGTTCTGTAACTAGTAATGAGGAAATCTGGGGTTAACTCAAGCCTTCTCACTCAGCGCTCAGAGGCCCAGAGGACTGGAATTTTACTCTCTGGGCTACATAAAATAAAGGCAGACCTTCCATTCCTTCAGAAGCCAGTTGGGCCAAGAAGGAAGGCTGGAAGTTCCAGAAGAATTTAAGGGGTGCTTTCCCTAAGCATCTTGCCTCCACCACCCCAAGTTGAAGCTATTCTCAACCAAGTGTGACTTGTGGGGAGGCTCAGTTCCTGGACACTCACAGCAATGGCCTGGCCAAGCTCAAGGTCATTATCATCCTCCCACCCCACCTGCCGAGGGCAACTACCCAACCGTTTGCCATCCTCAACCCACAGAACTAACCCCTCCCTCCTGTGTGGTAACTGTTCTTAGGAAAGGAAGAGGGATGAGGAAGGAGGGGGAACCATATAGGAAAACTTCCTGATGGTGGCAGTGGTGTGGTGATGATGGTGGTGGCGGTGGTGTTGGTAGTGGTGGCGGTGGTGATGGCAGTGGTGGGTGCAGGTATCAGGGCTGAGCAGCCCTGGCATAGGAAGAAAGCCTGGTAAATGCATTAGATCGTATAGTTTTAAAAGCACAACTTTTTGTCCGGCCAGTATTGTTCAGTGGTTGAGCATCATCCCACGAACCAAGAGGTCATTGGTTTGATTCCCGATTAGGGCACATGCCAGGATTTTGGGCTGGATCCCAGGTTGAGGGCTGGGGGGCATGCAGGAAGTAGCCAATTGATGATGTTTCTCTCTTACTGATATTTCTATCTCTCTATCTTTCTTCCTTCCTCTCTCTCTAAAATCAAATTTTTAAAAAAACATATTTTTTAAAAAATATTTAAAAACTAGGATTCCAGAAACCTCTTAATAAAAAATAAATAAAAAGCACAAGTTTTATTACCTAGTATACCTGAATTCACATAGAATCTCTGCTCCTTGATAGTCCTGTAACCTCAGGCAACTCACTAGTTTGGATCTGTGTTTCAACTGCAAAAATAGTAAAATCTTTAAAAGTGGAAGTGCCTTCCTTCAAGATCTGTTGCAATGGCTCAGTGAGATAACACGGGTGGTGCCCAGGCCCAACGCCCAGCAGCAGACTGCTCGGAGAGGCAGGTTTTCCTCCCTCTCCTGCCTGCCTCCGCCGCACCTGTCCTGCTCCCCAGTGCGGTCATTGGAGATCACTTTCCCCGGATGACAGTCCTTCTCCAGAGACCCACGAAAGGGCCAAGCCCCAGCCCAGGATCCCCCTCCCAAGCTCAGCAGAGCGTTGGGTGGCTTGGATCAGGAGAGATAACTCAGTTCCTTAGCAACTAACAAGCATTTCCCTGTAAAGACAAAGACCCTGCACTCAGAATGCTCCCTCTCACTCCCCCTTCGCCGCTCCAGGTGTCTGATCTCAGTGCAGGAGTAGGGCTACAGGCCACCCACACCCCCCAGAGGTCTAGGGGCCTCCTGCCCCACCTTCCCAGCAGTCCTGATCATTATCCCACTGCACCTTTCATCCTGGTGCTAATTACCTTTCACATTTACCCCCAGGGCTGTTTCTAGGAGATACATGAGGTGTGTGCACGTGCACGTGCACACACACACACACACACACATATGCACACACACATATACATGCATGCACACACCAAAGTCCATATTTCCCCTTCAGATACCCTCTCCTCCTGCCCATTTTAGAAACAGGAAACCAAGAATGGAGAGAGGATCCAGCTCCTTCAGGATTCCCATCTGAGAAACAGGAGCTGAATATGTTAGTCCAGGGAGGAGGGAGACCCGGCTGCTGAGCAGCCTGAGGGACGGGGAGCCCAGGGAGGAGAGGATTCCTTTGAAAGGACTGCCAAACTGTGCCAGGACAGAGGTCCCGGCTCTGAATGCCACCTGC